CCCCCCCCCCACCCCCGGGAAGAATCACTGCTGTGGAAGCCCAACCTGACTCCTGGGCTGCACTCACCCATGGGCCTCTAGCCTTCTACTCTTTGCCATTGACACATTTTCCTTCAAGATCCCAGCATTCGCACCATTCTCTCACTGTCACGACACTGTCCTCCTGCAACTGCCCGACTCCCTTCCAACCCCAATCTGCAAAACACCATTATTTATCTGTAGCCACCACCACAATTCCAAAACACACACACACACGCACACACACAAACACACACACACGCACACACACACACACTCACACTCACCCACGCGTAAGCTACTCCTTCCTCCCTATCTTTACGACTCTGGTGCCTTGTGGAAGTACCTTTGTCCCAGGACCTGGACGTTCTCAGCTCTTGCTCTTCTCCCTTTTCTGGATGTTATCCCTCCTCTCACACCCCTGGCATGATCCTTCCACAGAGCCCCTGTGGTCCTCTCAGGTGCTGGTGTGTTTTCCGCCAACCAGACTTTTGCCTTCGCCTATCCTGCTAGGGCTACACTCCAGTGGGCTCTCTGGGTGGATTCCCTGGTCTGGCCCTCCTGCTCCTTAGTTGTCCTCATCATGCCCAGCACTTGACACGGAATCAGCCCACTATGTGCATTAAAGGAGTTGGGTATTCCCGTGCATGGAGCTTGGCTCCCTTCACCCAACCCCATCCCAATCCATGTCCTCCTCTCCAACCCTGGCACACTAGAAACGCCTCCAGACTCGACCCCCGAACCCACCTCCTCCTGCCTCCATGCTCCACCCTCTGCTTGACCCTCAATGTCCCATCCTACTTCCCCTATGACTTGCTAGTCAGATGAAGGATTGATTGGTCCTTCCATGACCTGTGCTGGTCTCTTCACTTACACTCCTCCTTCCCCCATTGCCCGCTCTCTCATCCCCAAGAGGGGTCTGCTGACTCCAACTGCTGTCCCCTGTTCCTTACCGTTGGGGGTCCACCATTATGAGATGGTGGTGGCTTACCTGGCCTTCTCTGTAACCTCACCTCCTCTCGCCTAGCCCTGCTCTGACAGGGTTGTCCCCAGGCTTTTCCATGGGACATTTCTCCACACCTCGTCGTCCTCTGACCTCATCCCACCAGGCCGGCATTGCTCTTTGACCTTACCCACTCTGTGATCTTCAGCCTGCGTGGGCTCCTGCCCGCCCTTGAGCCACCCATGGGAGGAAAGTACCTGCCTTCTCCTAGAGGCCACCCAGGTTTCCTTCTTTACCATTCTTTGGGTGCAGTTCATTCGTCCCCTGTCCTTTCTCACTCTTTTGTGCCCTTGGAATTTGGCCCCTCTCCTACACTCTCCCACACCCCGAATGTGCTCACCTGAAGTCCTACCTCTTGGGCCTGGGTTCATCATCTTTCTTGCTTGGCTTCTCTACTGCATAGGTAGCAAGAAAACTGTCCTTCCTCAGCCAGGTGACATTTCTGCAGTCACAGACTATACCTCTTCTTGCTGATGCCCATGGTGCTCTGTGTGCTCGTTACCTCATTCCTCCCCTTCTGCACACCCCACTGCCATCTCCTTGGCCCTCATATACTCTCCTGCATCTGCCCGCTTGCCTACGCCCTCTCCTCACATCCTGTGAACGTGGACTGTGATTTCCTCCAGGGACACGCGAACCTCGGTACTGGTTACCTTTCCTGATTCCATTGGGACCCCTTTGTTGCACAGTCTTGGGGCACAGCCCTTGGGGAGCCTCTTCCTCTGATTCCCCTACCTCTTCCTTATCAGTCTGGGTCAGTGGTTCCCACCGTTCACAGTGGGGCAATTTGGATTTAACGGGGGCGATTTCAAACGAGTTGATAAGAGTGAATTTCTTGCATTTCTGAAGCTTCTTGGAGCTTCAGATACTAGTAGAGTAGAGAAAGATCTTTTGTGACATATTCATCACTTAAGTTCTCTGTTATACGTTTCGTTTTTATTTATTTATTTTTTTTCTCGTTTCAAGTATTACAAATACTAGTACATCTGTGTCCTTCTCCCCCCAATTGACCTTCCCATCAGCCTCCCCTACCCCCCGGCATCAGTTATATGTTTAAGAGTTAATTTGCTATTTTTTGATATGACTTCAATTGTTATTTTGGGGCAATTTCTGGGTTATTTCTTCCTCAGTATGTCAACTGTCTGTTGTTCTTTGCTTTTTCTCTTTCACGGATGCCATCTTGTTTCGAAGGTTGTTTAGACCAAGTTAGTGGCCTTTTAGGTGTCCTCTACATGAATCGGAGTTCACTTTTTGAATAATGGGAATTATATGCCACGGGCCGGAGGAAGCATCAGGATTTTAGAGATGCTTAGGTGGGGCATGGGCAAAAAAAGGTTGGGAGCCACTGCTCTGGGTCCTTGGCGTTCAGCCCTCCCTCTTGCCCCTGTGCCTGCTCAGCCATGCCTGACACCTTGGCGCTTGGTCTCGCTCTGCACAGAGCCCTGGGTCTTGCTGTCCGCCCCTCTCTTCTCCTTCCTCTGCCAGCCGTCGTCTCTCTGCCAGATCATCTCCAGTCCCAGCTGGGCCTTGCTTCTGCTCTACAGCCCTTCAGGTGCTCTCTGATCACATCAGTCCACCCTAAATTTCCCCGTTGGTCGCTCCTGTCTCCCTCAGCCCTCCTCCTCAAGAGGCCTCAGTGCCTGGACCAAACCTTGGTGCTCTGCTCCCTACTCACTCCAGGTGAAGCCCAGGGTGCCACCCTCTATCCTTCCAGGTGATTTCTCAGCTACATCCCTTTGCTTGCTGTCTGCCTGGTCCAGGGTCCCTTAGCCCCATTCTGACATGCTTGAGACTCATACCCCCACCTCCTCACCTGCTCATGCTTCGCCTCTCTGCCCAGCTCTCCTCTCTGCCCCTTCCACCCAGTGATTCTCACCCGAGGGTGCATGACCCCCCAAGGAGGCCTATCAGCAACATCTTTGGGGTGTGTTTTTGTGTTTTCTTTTGAATTTTTTTTGGTTTTGTTGTTTCAAGCAGTGTACTGCTCCCCCTTCAGATGGTGTGATAGGCCTCCCTTGGGGGTCATGCCCACGCCCCCCCTCGGGTGAAACTCACCCCCCCCACCCCCGGGAAGAATCACTGCTGTGGAAGCCCAACCTGACTCCAGGGCTGCACTCACCCTTGGGCCTCTAGCCTTCTACTGGTTGCCATTGACACATTTTCCTGCAAGATCCCAGCATTCACACCATTCTCTCACTGTCCCGACACTGTCCTCCTGCAACTGCCCGACTCCCTTCCAACCCCAATCTGCAAAACACCATTTTTTATCTGTAGCCACCACCACAATTCCAAAACACACACACACACACGCACACACACACACACACACACGCACACACACACACTCACACTCACCCACGCGTAAGCTACTCCTTCCTCCCTATCTTTACGACTCTGGTGCCTTGTGGAAGTACCTTTGTCCCAGGACCTGGACGTTCTCAGCTCTTGCTCTTCTCCCTTTTCTGGATGTTATCCCTCCTCTCACACCCCTGGCATGATCCTTCCACAGAGCCCCTGTGGTCCTCTCAGGTGCTGGTGTGTTTTCCGCCAACCAGACTTTTGCCTTCGCCTATCCTGCTAGGGCTACACTCCAGTGGGCTCTCTGGGTGGATTCCCTGGTCTGGCCCTCCTGCTCCTTAGTTGTCCTCATCATGCCCACCACTTGACACGGAATTAGCCCACTATGTGCATTAAAGGAGTTGGGTATTCCCGTGCATGGAGCTTGGCTCCCTTCACCCAACCCCATCCCAATCCATGTCCTCCTCTCCAACCCTGGCACACTAGAAACGCCTCCAGACTCGACCCCCGATCCCACCTCTCCCTGCCTCCATGCTCCACCCTCTGCTTGACCCTCAATGTCCCATCCTACTTCCCCTATGACTTGCTAGTCAGATGAAGGATTGATTGGTCCTTCCATGACCTGTGCTGGTCTCTTCACTTACACTCCTCCTTCCCCCATTGCCCGCTCTCTCTTGCCCAAGAGGGGTCTGCTGACTCCAACTGCTGTCCCCTGTTCCTTACCGTTGGGGGTCCACCATTATGAGATGGTGGTGGCTTACCTGGCCTTCTCTGTAACCTCACCTCCTCTCGCCTAGCCCTGCTCTGACAGGGTTGTCCCCAGGCTTTTCCATGGGACATTTCTCCACACCTCGTCGTCCTCTGACCTCATCCCACCAGGCCGGCATTGCTCTTTGGCCTTACCCACTCTGTGATCTTCAGCCTGCGTGGGCTCCTGCCCGCCCTTGAGCCACCCATGGGAGGAAAGTACCTGCCTTCTCCTAGAGGCCACCCAGGTTTCCTTCTTTACCATTCTTTGGGTGCAGTTCATTCGTCCCCTGTCCTTTCTCACTCTTTTGTGCCCTTGGAATTTGGCCCCTCTCCTACACTCTCCCACACCCCGAATGTGCTCACCTGAAGTCCTACCTCTTGGGCCTGGGTTCATCATCTTTCTTGCTTGGCTTCTCTACTGCATAGGTAGCAAGAAAACTGTCCTTCCTCAGCCAGGTGACATTTCTGCAGTCACAGACTGTACCTCTTCTTGCTGATGCCCATGGTGCTCTGTGTGCTCGTTACCTCATTCCTCCCCTTCTGCACACCCCACTGCCATCTCCTTGGCCCTCATATACTCTCCTGCATCTGCCCGCTTGCCTACGCCCTCTCCTCACAGCCTGTGAACGTGGACTGTGATTTCCTCCAGGGACACGCGAACCTCGGTACTGGTTACCTTTCCTGATTCCATTGGGACCCCTTTGTTGCACAGTCTTGGGGCACAGCCCTTGGGGAGCCTCTTCCTCTGATTCCCCTACCTCTTCCTTATCAGTCTGGGTCAGTGGTTCCCACCGTTCACAGTGGGGCAATTTGGATTTAACGGGGGCGATTTCAAACGAGTTGATAAGAGTGAATTTCTTGCATTTCTGAAGCTTCTTGGAGCTTCAGATACTAGTAGAGTAGAGAAAGATCTTTTGTGACATATTCATCACTTAAGTTCTCTTTTGTACGTTTCGTTTTTATTTTTTTTTTGTTTTTTTCTCGTTTCAAGCATTACAAATACTAGTACATCTGTGTCCTTCTCCCCCCAATTGACCTTCCCATCAGCCTCCCCTACCCCCCGGCATCAGTTATATGTTTAAGAGTTTATTTGCTATTTTTTGATATGACTTCAATTGTTATTTTGGGGCAATTTCTGGGTTATTTCTTCCTCAGTATGTCAACTGTCTGTTGTTCTTTGCTTTTTCTCTTTCACGGATGCCATCTTGTTTGGAAGGTTGTTTAGACCAAGTTAGTGGCCTTTTAGGTGTCCTCCACATGAATCGGAGTTCACTTTTTGAATAATGGGAATTATATGCCACGGGCCGGGGGAAGCATCAGGATTTTAGAGATGCTTAGGTGGGGCATGGGCAAAAAAAGGTTGGGAGCCACTGCTCTGGGTCCTTGGCCTTCAGCCCTCCCTCTTGCCCCTGTGCCTGCTCAGCCATGCCTGACACCTTGGCGCTCGGTCTCGCTCTGCACAGAGCCCTGGGTCTTGCTGTCCGGCCCTCTCTTCTCCTTCCTCTGCCAGCCGTCGTCTCTCTGCCAGATCATCTCCAGTCCCAGCTGGGCCTTGCTTCTGCTCTACAGCCCTTCAGGTGCTCTCTGATCACATCAGTCCACCCTAAATTTCCCCGTTGGTCGCTCCTGTCTCCCTCAGCCCTCCTCCTCAAGAGGCCTCAGTGCCTGGACCAAACCTTGGTGCTCTGCTCCCTACTCACTCCAGGTGAAGCCCAGGGTGCCACCCTCTATCCTTCCAGGTGATTTCTCAGCTACATCCCTTTGCTTGCTGTCTGCCTGGTCCAGGGTCCCTTAGCCCCATTCTGACATGCTTGAGACTCATACCCCCACCTCCTCACCTGCTCATGCTTCGCCTCTCTGCCCAGCTCTCCTCTCTGCCCCTTCCACCCAGTGATTCTCACCCGAGGGTGCATGACCCCCCAAGGAGGCCTATCAGCAACATCTTTGGGGTGTGTTTTTGTGTTTTCTTTTGAATTTTTTTTGGTTTTGTTGTTTCAAGCAGTGTACTGCTCCCCCTTCAGATGGTGTGATAGGCCTCCCTTGGGGGTCATGCCCACCCCCCCCTCGGGTGAAACTCACCCCCCCCACCCCCGGGAAGAATCACTGCTGTGGAAGCCCAACCTGACTCCAGGGCTGCACTCACCCTTGGGCCTCTAGCCTTCTACTGGTTGCCATTGACACATTTTCCTGCAAGATCCCAGCATTCACACCATTCTCTCACTGTCCCGACACTGTCCTCCTGCAACTGCCCGACTCCCTTCCAACCCCAATCTGCAAAACACCATTATTTATCTGTAGCCACCACCACAATTCCAAAACACACACACACACACGCACACACACAAACACACACACACACACACACACACTCACACTCACCCACGCGTAAGGTACTCCTTCCTCCCTATCTTTACGACTCTGGTGCCTTGTGGAAGTACCTTTGTCCCAGGACCTGGACGTTCTCAGCTCTTGCTCTTCTCCCTTTTCTGGATGTTATCCCTCCTCTCACACCCCTGGCATGATCCTTCCACAGAGCCCCTGTGGTCCTCTCAGGTGCTGGTGTGTTTTCCGCCAACCAGACTTTTGCCTTCGCCTATCCTGCTAGGGCTATACTCCAGTGGACTCTCTGGGTGGATTCCCTGGTCTTGCCCTCCTGCTCCTTAGTTGTCCTCATCATGCCCAGCACTTGACACGGAATCAGCCCACTATGTGCATTAAAGGAGTTGGGTATTCCCGTGCATGGAGCTTGGCTCCCTTCACCCAACCCCATCCCAATCCATGTCCTCCTCTCCAACCCTGGCACACTAGAAACGCCTCCAGACTCGACCCCCGATCCCACCTCTCCCTGCCTCCATGCTCCACCCTCTGCTTGACCCTCAATGTCCCATCCTACTTCCCCTATGACTTGCTAGTCAGATGAAGGATTGATTGGTCCTTCCATGACCTGTGCTGGTCTCTTCACTTACACTCCTCCTTCCCCCATTGCCCGCTCTCTCTTGCCCAAGAGGGGTCTGCTGACTTCAACTGCTATCCCCTGTTCCTTACCTTTGGGGGTCCACCATTATGAGATGGTGGTGGCTTACCTGGCCTTCTCTGTAACCTCACCTCCTCTCGCCTAGCCCTGCTCTGACAGGGTTGTCCCCAGGCTTTTCCATGGGACATTTCTGCACACCTCGTCGTCCTCTGACCTCATCCCACCAGGCCGGCATTGCTCTTTGGCCTTACCCACTCTGTGATCTTCAGCCTGCGTGGGCTCCTGCCCGCCCTTGAGCCACCCATGGGAGGAAAGTACCTGCCTTCTCCTAGAGGCCACCCAGGTTTCCTTCTTTACCATTCTTTGGGTGCAGTTCATTCGTCCCCTGTCCTTTCTCACTCTTTTGTGCCCTTGGAATTTGGCCCCTCTCCTACACTCTCCCACACCCCGAATGTGCTCACCTGAAGTCCTACCTCTTGGGCCTGGGTTCATCATCTTTCTTGCTTGGCTTCTCTACTGCATAGGTAGCAAGAAAACTGTCCTTCCTCAGCCAGGTGACATTTCTGCAGTCACAGACTGTACCTCTTCTTGCTGATGCCCATGGTGCTCTGTGTGCTCGTTACCTCATTCCTCCCCTTCTGCACACCCCACTGCCATCTCCTTGGCCCTCATATACTCTCCTGCATCTGCCCGCTTGCCTACGCCCTCTCCTCACAGCCTGTGAACGTGGACTGTGATTTCCTCCAGGGACACGCGAACCTCGGTACTGGTTACCTTTCCTGATTCCATTGGGACCCCTTTGTTGCACAGTCTTGGGGCACAGCCCTTGGGGAGCCTCTTCCTCTGATTCCCCTACCTCTTCCTTATCAGTCTGGGTCAGTGGTTCCCACCGTTCACAGTGGGGCAATTTGGATTTAACGGGGGCGATTTCAAACGAGTTGATAAGAGTGAATTTCTTGCATTTCTGAAGCTTCTTGGAGCTTCAGATACTAGTAGAGTAGAGAAAGATCTTTTGTGACATATTCATCACTTAAGTTCTCTGTTATACGTTTCGTTTTTTTTTTGTTTTTGTTTTTTTCTCGTTTCAAGCATTACAAATACTAGTACATCTGTGTCCTTCTCCCCCCAATTGACCTTCCCATCAGCCTCCCCTACCCCCCGGCATCAGTTATATGTTTAAGAGTTTATTTGCTATTTTTTGATATGACTTCAATTGTTATTTTGGGGCAATTTCTGGGTTATTTCTTCCTCAGTATGTCAACTGTCTGTTGTTCTTTGCTTTTTCTCTTTCACGGATGCCATCTTGTTTGGAAGGTTGTTTAGACCAAGTTAGTGGCCTTTTAGGTGTCCTCCACATGAATCGGAGTTCACTTTTTGAATAATGGGAATTATATGCCACGGGCCGGGGGAAGCATCAGGATTTTAGAGATGCTTAGGTGGGGCATGGGCAAAAAAAGGTTGGGAGCCACTGCTCTGGGTCCTTGGCCTTCAGCCCTCCCTCTTGCCCCTGTGCCTGCTCAGCCATGCCTGACACCTTGGCGCTCGGTCTCGCTCTGCAAAGAGCCCTGGGTCTTGCTGTCCGCCCCTCTCTTCTGCTTCCTCTGCCAGCCGTCGTCTCTCTGCCAGATCATCTCCAGTCCCAGCTGGGCCTTGCTTCTGCTCTACAGCCCTTCAGGTGCTCTCTGATCACATCAGTCCACCCTAAATTTCCCCGTTGGTCGCTCCTGTCTCCCTCAGCCCTCCTCCTCAAGAGGCCTCAGTGCCTGGACCAAACCTTGGTGCTCTGCTCCCTACTCACTCCAGGTGAAGCCCAGGGTG